AGGCTGTAGATGCTGGAGGGGCTGGCTGGGGTACAAGAGTGTTTCAGTGCAGGGGCTGCCTGCTGGCTAGCCCCGCACTGGAGCACCCTTGTGTCCCAGACAGCCCCTTTGCAGCACGTTGAGCCAAGTCAAAGCAGTCCCAAGCTGGCAGGCTGACCCCCAGGGCCTCTGCTAGCTCAGGTTGCTTTGTCCTGCAGTCTTTGCCCTAGTGCTGTCTAAGTCTTTGCCCTGGTGCTGCAGTCTTGGGTGCATGTGGAAACAGCATGCCCAGGAGCAATGAACTCTAGTGCAATATGGCAACGCACACTGGAGTTTATTGCTGTGTGCTAATTGCATATGTAGACACGCCCGTGGAGTAGAAGTGACCTGTTTTTATTGATTCTGAATTGTGAGCAGGAAGACTTAGTAGACTGCTTCTTGGCTCACATTTTACCCAAGAATAACGGAGACTTGGTGGGATAGATCACATGACTAGGGTATTGAATTGGATGGGTATAAACTGTTCAGGAAGGACAGGCAGGTGAGAAGAGGAGGAGGAGTTGCACTTCATATATAAGAGTTGTATGATTGCTTAGACCTTAAGTATGAAACTGGAGATAGGCCTGTTGGAAATCTCTGGGTTAGGGTCAAAGGGGAGAGCAAGAAGGGTGATATCATGGTAGGTGTCTGCCAGAGACCACCAGACCAGGAGGATGTGGTGGATGAGACTTTCTTCAAACAGCTAGCAGAAGTTTCCTGATCAGAGGCCCTAGTTTTCATGGGGGACTTCAGTCACTTGGACATTTGCTGGGAGGGCAATGCAGCAGTGCACAGGCAATCCAGGGGCAATTTCCTGGTGCAAGTGTTTGAGAGGCCAGTTAGGGGCTGTACTCTTTTTGTCATGGTGCTGCCTTAGTCTGGGGGAGGGGGGCCATGTGCCCCTCCCCTGCAACCACTCCCGCCAACTGGGGGGGGAGGTCCCCCATGGGTGATCCCCTGCCCTCCTTTAATGCTGACTTTCTGAAGGAACATCTTGAGAAGCTGGATACCTTCAAGTCAGCTGGCCCTGACAATCTTCACCCCAGGGTACTCAAGGAGCTGGCGAGCATCATAGCCCAGCCTCTAGCATGGATCTTTGAAAACTCTTGGCGCTCTGGTGTAGTGCCCGAAGACTGGAAGAAGGCCAATGTGGTGCCTATCTTCAAGAAAGGGAGGAAAGTGGATCCGGCTAACTATAGGCCCATCAGCCTGACTTCTATCCCGGGGAAGATCTTAGAAAAGTTTATTAAAGAGGCCATCCTTAATGGACTGGCCGACGCCAACATCTTAAGGGATAGCCAGCATGGGTTTGTTGCGGGTAGATCTTGCTTGACCCATCTCATTTCCTTCTACAACCAGGTGACGTATCACCTGGACAAGGGAGAAGAGATTGATGTCATATATCTTGACTTCAAAAAAGCCTTCGATCTGGTGTCCCATGATCGCCTCTTGGAGAAACTGGCCAATTGTCGCCTTGGGTCCTCCACGATCCGCTGGCTGGAAAATTGGCTCCGGGGTCGGACCCAGAGGGTAGTAATTGATGGAAGTCACTCATCGTGGTGTCCTGTGACCAGTGGGGTCCCCCAAGGCTCTGTCCTTGGACCCATACTGTTCAACATCTTCATTAATGATGTGGACACTGGAGTCAGAAGTGGACTGGCCAAGTTCGCCGATGACACCAAACTTTGGGAAAAAGCATCCACACCAGAAGACAGGCAGGTTATCCAGACTCGATGATCTTCCGAGGTCCGTTCCAGCCCTGATGTCTATGAAATCTATGAAAGGGTGGGGTGCAGGCCCCAGGCAGGGGGTTGCCCTGGCTTGCCCCATGCCAGGAGGCTCCAGCTCCCAGCTGCAGCCCAGGAAAGACCCAGCAGTCACCTTCCTCAGCCCTCGCGGACCCTCGGCGGGGGTCTTTTTTCCACCTCCCCGCCCTCCCTGCTGCC